ATTAAGTCATGGACGAAAAATTGCTATATGACAGGAAAAAAAAGAATGTGTCAAGATACTCTGTAATACTCACTTTATTGAATGCCTTTCTGTAGTAGACGGAGGCCTACCTAACAAATTATACCCCGTCTTGCGCTTTTAGCTGCGGTTTTCCAATATGCTGCTCAAAACAACTCTCGACAGATTAAGGATGTTCAGATGTAATTTATGTCTGCAGCACTGGCGTCAATGTTAGCCACGGGGAAGTCATTAGTCATGAGGGAGGACTCTTTTTTTTTTGCGAAGAAGTGTTGAATCATTTTGGACAGCACCCTGCGGACAGTAGAGTCACACTTGCATTTATAATGTTATGTACTTGTTGTTTCCATCAGTATTTTCGACAGGTTAATAATTAAACAGGTCACGTCTGGATCAAGTGCTCTGGGAAAATCAGCTGAAATAGGGGCATTGCTTTCATTGCTCAGTGCACAAAGGATTTTAAGATCGTGGATATTTGGTAGAGTACTGGATGGATGTTTTAAACCATACTGAAAATGTTGAAATTGGCTTTATCAACCAAATTAAGTAAGGGTTATTAGCTTACGGTCTTAGTCACAAAAAATTGCACTTCAGATCTTTGTAAAATGATTTTTGTTTAAATTTGCACTAGGTTTGGGGAATTGTGTCATATAACGTGATGTTGGTATGGACATCAAACGTGTTAAATTTACTGCTGTGCACGAGGGTTGTACTAATAACTTAATTAGACAACGTGATACATTACATTTTGCCCAGTGTGGTCCAAAGGCTTAGGGTGCGTTCGAGTAGCTCACCCGGATCGACTCGGGTAAATCAGACGGGTTAGCCACGAGAGCCGTGCTAATCGAACGCTCATACACGGATCATCATGCTCCTCACGTGACGTCCATAGCCGTTGCCGGCGTAGCCATTGACAGAACACCCTTTTCGGGCCGAGTCTTACCATTCCTTCCTCCACGGCCTTACTATGAGATGTATTATTTTTCCGTCAATCACAAAAAGTAAAAAAGTCGGGCTGAAATGAGCGGGCTCTAAAGTCGCAATGAGATCAATAAATAATTATGTTTAGACTTCAAATATCGGTGATTTTGGGGTCCACTTGATCCTTCAATTCCGCTGTCCAGCCGCCATATTTGTCAGTTTCTTAGAATGAACAACGCATGCGTGTTACGTATTTCCACCACTCCACTGGGTCTATAGTGACTGACCCGGGTGAGCTCCAAGAATGACGTTAGAGCTCATCGAACGGCCGACGGTGTTAACTCGATCCGGTCGAGCTACTCGAAAGCACCACAAGTATCATCCGATGTACAAAGCGGGACTGATATAAATAGGTGTTTCAGTGCATAGGTGCTTCAAGGCATAACCAATTGACATGAATTGCTATAGTTGACATTTTTTTTCATCAGTACCTGTTCCAAATTATAAACAACCGCTCGACGGACAGAATATCTACCATTCCTTTCAACTATCTGGCACCCACCGAAGATTTAGGTTTTCATCGGCTGAATCGTGTTTCGTATATACACAGGGTTTGACTGATTATTTCCATATGGTTCGTGTCTTGAAGTAACCGAGTATTCGAGAAATAATTTATTCCAGATGCTTCAAGGATCTAACGAATCTTCTAACCATTTTTTAAACACTTCTTGCAGTATTCCTCTACAAGATAACATGTGTCATTTTGTCTCTTTTTAATCTCCATCATCAAGTGTGCAAACTCGAGAAAATACCAACTGAAATGGAACATCTCTTTATTTTCGAGACGTTAATTCTCACCTCTTAATAAGAGCTAGCCTTTTTCTAGACTCATTAGAACGCAAAACTGTCCATGAACTCATTCCGATCTTTCATCGTGAACGTTTAAAAGATGAAATTGCAGCAGTGCTGAAACGTTTCTATTAATTACATTGCTCTGAGACGCCTCGTGGCAAAATCCAATATCCTGTGATGCCGTAATCTTTAGGTTCATCGGCAATCTTTTTGACGTCTATAGTTGTAAAACTGTGCACTGAAATCCAGCGTTTATCCGAAAGAAAACAAATTCCGGAGAAAAGAAAGAAAGTAAAATGAAGGGCACTGTAATCTTTCATTAAATAAATAATAAGATTTATATGTCTTTCATTAAATAAATAATAGGATTTATATGATTAATTACATGGACACAGTAAAAGTGAAGTCACTGTAATTTTTCATTCATTAAATAAATAATAGGATTTATATATCTTTCATTAAATAAATAATATGATTTATATAGTTCATTACATGGAAACAGTAATCACTCCAATCAACAGTGCTATTTATAATCAAGACGACAAAGCACCAACATGACTCGATAACTTGTGTAGGTCACGTGTGCAGTCTGTGTGGCGACAAGATGCCAAACGTTATTACCGTTCAAATTATCAGGATTATCCAAAATCGTCGCCTTATTTGGAGCGTGAAATTAGGCTCTGCTTCCGTATTTATCGACAGAGTCAACTGTGCGCCGTTAAACCTTTATTATCGACACTAATGACCAATTGACGCAAATTCCTCCGTGCTCGTTTTAATAATTAAGTTTGTGTTGCTCCCACAGAGGTTGGGTGGATGCTTTATCGCACCTCGAAGTGTGTTGAATGATGATGATGACTAGACGAAGAATACTGAGGAAATAAAAACAGAAGGATGTTTCAAAAAATGAGAAAAGATGTTCTTAATTCCCCCAATTAAGTTAATCAGGCAGAGCCTGTATTTACCTCGTTCCCTATAATGACACCATTGTAAGACCACTTTTACCCTAAAAGGTCGACTGTTAAAAATGGGGTATTTTGATACAGCAGATATATGTGGTCTTAATTTTAAAAAATGTCCGGAGGACACAATATGCTTTTGAAAATCCTGAAGAAAACAAATTATAGTGCGACAGATCCTATAATTGTAAGTATCACGCAGATGATATTGATATGTATAGCTAGTATTCAGTACACGAAAGCTCCACCTGAAACCAATCACTATGCTTTATAGAATTGCCAATAAATGAAGCTCCATTCGAGTTATTCTGAAAAGCGCGCAACACGTTCCATTTGGAGTTTATACCTGGGAGACGAGAGACGAATGTCCACCGCTTGTAGCATATAGCAGATGAGAACACATCAATCTTGTGAACCCTTCGGGCGCATACACAATAGCTTACAATTTTTCATGTGCTTGCATGTTCAAAGCCTGACCCAGAATTCAACTATTTCTATATATATCGTCTGGTGTAATTGTGAACAAAGAAACAACCTTTCATTGTATACGTTAAAAAAAAAATGCATGGGAGGAAGAGGCGCAAAAATGGTATTTGTTAACTGTGAGATAATTACTTGTCAAGCCCTTGTCATTTATTTCATAATATGGCACTAATTAGCGAGAGGTGCTGCTCAACAAAATGGAGATGTTATCTACCAAGTTCACAGCTTTCGAGTTAATACTTATTTAGAGAAATATTGGTCTTAAACGAACATAGTCTGTGACATGCTATCGTTTATGGTAAAACACAATTGTTTGATAACGTTCATGTCATTTTTAATGGATCTTACATGTTTTATCTTTGACATCAACAGAAGTCTAACTCCACTGAGCCCAGGATTCAACACTAAATTCGATCGGTGACAAATCATCATGTGTGGACATCGGCACGGATTTTTCAGGAGGTCAGTACCAATGAAATACAACAAGGTTCAGGTATGTTTTTCAACACCTTAAGCTTCACAGTACTTTTTTTTCCATAGGCAGTAAATCAAAGAAAGGATCCCATGTAACCTTAAGTAAATGAGTAAAACCTTTTAAAATCACTGTCAGCAATAATTAGACATGCACCGATGCCGTCGTTACGCTCCGGCAAATCTGAGTTGCGAGCTAATGCGTTCGTGATCGTGAATGCAAATTATATTTAAAAAAATGGGTTAAAGCCTTTACTTCGATCTTTGCTCTATATCATTAAAACCGCGATTAACGCCCTCTATTCGCGAACGGGGGTGATAACTGTCAGAAGTTGACAAATATTGCCACCTGAATTTCGGTTTTTTAACGCCTCATTAAAAAAAAATTAAACTAAAAATATATCGGTCTTTCGGAGTGATAGGGTCTACAGTACCCACAACCCCGTCCCACGCTTACCGTAGAGCCAGTTCAGCGAATCAGGATATATTGTAAAATAAAGTGCTTCTTTAAAGATGCTGTTAGATCAAGAGATATCAAGTGGCTTTTACATGCATGGACTTCGATGTCAGTCAGTGACTACACCTGCTCTCCCGCATAAGTACGCCCGTATTTGAATGTATAAAAATCCTTAAATACCATGTGAAGGTAATACGTTGAAGATCCTCGTGTACTCTTGTCTGTCAATGGGTTAGGGTACAAGCGATACTCGCTTCACCTTATACCTAAAAATGTTGTTAATTTGCTCATCTAATATTTAAGATCTCTGTATACATTTTTAATTACACATTTATCTATTATTTTTTTGTTTACATGAGATTGTAAGGTGACATTCTATGAAAAACGGCAACATTGAGATAACTGATCAAACTAACTTCGAAAGGACCCCCTAAATTGCAACAGTAAGAACGAGATCTATGTTGCCATAATAATAGTCGCTGAAAAAAAATCCGCAGTTCACATCAATTTCAGAACTGTGTATAAAGTGCCTACGCTAAATCTTTATTTTTTACGCATGTAAAATTGCTGCAAATATTCGAATGGATTACACAATGCCGCTTGTCGAGTCAGATTGCACTTCAAATCTCATATTTAATTTTGTTCCTCCCACGGCACCAGATTGCCAGTTTCCGTGAAACCTACTAGCGGATTGAAGGGAGCTTATAGTTATATGCAATTCACGCGCCGGATGTCATTGGAGACCGGCGGGACTCACTGCGCATGTCTGGTTCGGGAGCTACATCAAAAACGGCCGGTTATGACTTGGAGTTGGAAGTGGCGCATTTGATCCTCGAGCAGGCCGGATCGAGCAAACACCTAGCGATAACACAACGGTTTTCCGTAAATCGGTCTGACTTTGTGCTCAGCATTTCAACTTGCCGTTGGTAAAAATATGGATGACTTATTGAATGAGAGCGCAGACTGCGCCGAAGACTTCCGAATTAACATCAGTCTCGATTATGTGCCTTCTTACACGTACAACGACGGGCAGATTTTCGTGATTACCATCCTTCTACCAATTCTTCTGACGCTAGGCATCCTCGGGAATTCAGCTTTCATGTTTGTCGTGTACCGTCGAGCCGAGATGAGGACTGTCACCAATTGGTATCTGACCAATTTGGCAGTTGCGGACATTTTGTTCCTGCTCAGTGCAATCGTCGACAAAATTTGGGCTTACTATGTATCCCCAATCCCTGGGGACAACGGCCCTCATGGACATTTTGCTTGCGTCTTGCTGTACCTCATCGCCGATCTGACTTATTTTGCCTCCCTTGGGTTTGTTACGCTCGTGTCTTTTGATCGTTTTCTGGCCGTCCGTCGACCACGAGCCTCCTCTAAAGGGCGGAGAGGAAGACGCACCGTCCCCTTCAGACTCTGTGCCGCGTCCTGGATACTCGGGTTTTGCTTCGCCGCTTGCTTGATTCCATCCAGAGGTATGTTCGTCAGATATTGTCTCAAATGGCCCCAAGAAGAAAAGTACCAAAACTGGCCTTCATATATGTACGTGTGCAAATCTCGCGAGGATTGGGTGGACCAGTTCTCCAACGTCATACAGACGGTTCCTTTCTTCCTCACCTTCGCGCTGAATCTGTTCCTGTATGTGAACATCATTCGCGGGCTGGACCGCTCCATACAAAACCTGGGCAGTCATGGTATGTCTCAAGACAAGAATGTTACTATGAGGAACCAGATAGCCCTCATGCTGGTGGTGAATGGCGTCGTCTTCTTCTGCTGCCTCTTTCCTTTTGAGCTCCTGGTTCTGTTCCAAGTCATTCGAGTCGTCCGGGGCACCAATATCATTCCACTGGGATGGCATAACCTATTCTTTGAGATTTCGCGCGCTCTCGCTTACATCAATTCTGTGGCCAACCCCTTGATATACACTCTCATGAGTCACAGGTACAGGGCTAACTTCAAAACTGCCTTCTCTCTTGACCAGTGCAGCAGGATTGTTTCTCAGAGAGGACGCAAGGAGAACAATGCAGCTCCAGCCGATGACTTCAGAAACACGTCGCAGAGGGGTCAAACAGCAACCCGTGTTGAAATTCTGTGAGAAACTCGCCGAACGTAATTGTAACTTTGACACACACAACATGTTATTAGTCAGTGCACTTTACGAGGAACGGAGTCTGAAAACCTCATATTTTCTGTATTTTCACAGAAATGCGCACCTACCGTTATATTGGTTGTGTAATTGGAGGTATTTGTAAATATTGTACCGCTTTGTTGAAAAATTGTCTGGCCTTGGTATCAATGTAGAAAAATACAGTAGTTTTTGTCGAATCTTGAGACGTTTGTTGGGGAATCCGTACCAATATTTGTATGCAGAACATTTTATTTCTCTGTTTGGGGATCCTCCCGGGAGATTGTTCTATGGAGAAGAAATCGTAGAAACCATTGCTATTTCGTCATTGTCGCCTAAAGAATTGTTAAGAAAACGCCTTACGCTCTCTTAATCCACAAGAATGTTCCCGTCATTGGTGCTCGTTATAGTGTTCTTGTAAAGTCTTATAGGTAGTCATTTTAGAAATAAGAAAAATATTATTAACAAGGTTTGAGTAACAAGTAAAATTCACAGTAAAGCAAATTCCACTATTATTATCGGAGTATGGTGACACTAAATACTCTTAACAGAATCTTTGTAACAGAATCTTTTGTACATCTCGAGATGTACACAAATTATGAAAATCATTTTAGCCGAAATTGAGATTATTTAGCATTCACAGTAAAAAGTCATGAAATAATGTATCTTATAAGATGTAAGATGTAAACATGATGAAAATAATTTTAGCCAAACTTGAGATTATTTGGCATTTACAGCCCAATATAAGGCTCACATTTTAGATACTCAGAAGCGATTTTTGAATTTGTTATAACCGTGCAATCGAAACATGAGAAGTACATAAGGCAGCTTATTTTTGCGTGTATCATTTAGCCAAGAATTGAACGTTTGAAAAATGACTGGACCTATTTGCCTACTTGACTGGACTGAAACAGTGTGGTGCCGTTGAAAGACATAGCAAACATCAATACCAACCCGCCCGTGTCAAGATCGATGTCACAAAATCAATCTTGAGGCGCCATGGGATGAGACTTGAAACCAGAATATTAATCATGTCATCTAGCAAAGTTCATGGCCCCTATTCTCCAGATAGATATCCGAGATGGTTTCTCGTAGATCATGAGAGATTGTGATGTAGGTTACTATACAAAATCCCAAAGAAGTCCAACAATTATGACATTACACCCGATTGCAGAACTTAAGTCTCGTATCATACCCCGAGGATTCGTCTGGGAGATTATATGATTCTAATGCAGTTCATAGAACACTGTAGTCACCATGTTTCTGACTTTTTGGCCAACAGTAGGGTCAAACAACAAGGCACAGAGAAACTGCGCCGACTTTGATCCTTAAGTCTCGTCTCATGTCATGTCTGGGACTTTGGGCTCAGAGATTAAACTTTCGATTTGGCGCCAAGAACGGGAAATTGGATGACATCAAGAGGATGTTTGCTCAACGACCGACTGACAGGACTTTGGATTTTGACAGACGACGCGACATATTACGACAATTGCAAATTAATCTACGTCTTGAATTAATGTAACATCGAAACTTGTATGTAGTTGGTGACTAAACAATTTGTTTATGTATTTCTTGTGACTTCCAACTGCTTTAGGGTATGTTCAGACGAACCCATCTCCGAGCAGAACGAATCAGAGATTATTTTTTTCGTGGGTGTTAAGAAAAAAAGGATTAGTGCTTTAATAACAAGTCACCGTTTCAGGGCAAAAGTTAAAGCATTGCGTCTTCTAAAATGGATTTCATATATTGCTCGGATCGCGCTTTTCCACTTTTTAGAATTCGTTGTTACGTTACTTTTGATTGATGCCTGCGGTATTTCCTGACATTTCAGCCGCATTTATAAAATATCGATGAGATTACCTCGTGAAAGAGTGCGCTCTTTTTTTTTTAGATCTCATTTTGCGTCATGTTTTCATTGAAATAATCCTCTCCGGGGCACTGGTGTCACAAGAAAACAGACTGTCGTGATAAACAAATAGGAGCAAAACCTTAGACTTGAAATTACGTTTTGTAAACACTCAGAATTTGGCGGATATCAAGTCAAATTGTCTTTTGAAGTCAGCACTTAAGTATTTGTCTATGGTTAGTGGTTTAAAAGCTAAAAGCCTGCTTTGTGAGCCATCTTCTGTAAGTAATTCAATTTGCCGTTTTCTGTTATCCCTAGAATTTTGCTGTGTCGGTTCGGTGTTCAAGCGCCTATACCAACATATAAAATAAAGTAAGGTAGTGGTCTTTATTTGAGAAAGTGTAATGTTTTGTCAAAATCGTTTGAATCGAAATATACGTACAAAAGAGTAATTTACAGATGTTTGTAATATTGTAAAGTAGAGTTTATTCCGTGTTGTTCTCACTTCAAGATGGCTCCTTGCTGCAGAGGTGGAGTGAACTTAACAAATCTGCTCTTATACCTTAAGACAACATCATTCTTTATGATGATAAATTGACAGATCTTTTTCCATTGTGACATTAGATTTTAAGATGATCCGTTTTTCTCCGTTAATCTACCGCTTGTAGGCCTCTTCGACTGCTGGAATTTATGCCAATGTAAATATAAGGTAAATTTATGTATACAACTTGGCACCTATTCGGACGGGACTTTGTATTCACTTTGGGACGGGAGTTTGTAACACTATACATTCGCATAAACATCGAATATTAGGGTCGTTGGTTTGTTCAATTTCAGCTGGTATCAAGTTTATCAACGTAGAAAATAACACAGTGGTACAAAAATATGCTGCCTCTGTTTACGTTTGTACACGATTGGCCTTTATGTTATGTAAATCAACCATGTTGTAATTTTTCTGCAGCTTTCTGCAGAAAATACCGCTATAAATAAATACCACTATTATCCATAACCCTATACGTGTGTCTTTAAAATGTCACAAAAACATAATAGTTGTCGCTGATTACTTGGAACTGGAAGAACTAATGTAACTGTATGGCGCCACTTTGATTCAAAATTGTCTCTCTTTTGGTAGTCAATACCTAATCTTCACAGGAAAATACTTGGGTAATAGGCAAAACTGCCATGTTTTGGCGTCACTTTGACCAGAGCGATAGGATGGATTGCCCGATAGGTCATTGGCTCCCATTTCTTCGCTTCTGAAGACGGTACATATAAGAAGAGATTGTTCTTGATATATCAGTGCCGAAATATCAAAATGCAGATTTTATCTTGGAAAGGTCAAAAGATATGATCGAAATTGTTATAAGTTCACTAGTTACTTCTAGTTCCAAACAAGGCTGCAAAATAATGTGTGGATGTTTATGTTGATATTTAGAGCGATGAATTGCATTTGAATTATTGTACTATAGTTTTAATTATTAATAAATGGTATTAATATAAGACCCTTTGGGGCTAAAAATTTGTCACAGTTTATCTTCTGGTTTGGAAAACAAGTGCTGTTAAGAGTCCTCCTTCATATAGATAATAAATGTCTTTTTTCTAAATAACCATTTTCCAGCAACGTTGCTTCAATACACGAATTGTACCTTCTCGCTTGCAGCCCATCGCACATTGTAAGTGTTGCTTTCAGTATCATGTTGGCATCTCGTCGGAGCCAGTTAAAAAAAAATGTGTACAAAATATCAGTAACGGAAGCTAGACAGAATGTCCAGAAGCAAAAATTTCTTGCTCGAATGAGATCACCGATATGGAAAGTAGAACGCGGGTCGATTTAATGACTGCCAAAAGGCCAAAAATGTTCAGATGCGAACACTTTTATTAACCCATACGATCGTCGCCATGGGCATGAAAGAGACTGCAAGAGAATAGCAAGGAAGAAACAAGCATGCAAGCTAATATACCAGAGTGTAGTTATTGCTCCCTTGCAAGACATTAACCCGTCCGAGTAAAGACCAACAATTGGTGTAGCTCATAGCTTCAAGTGCTGCTGTGGATTACCAAGATCTGATTTGCGCCTTACATCCCTTGGGTCCCGGTGTATATATGTAGAAGCTGCCGCCGAACTACAGCTCATGAGAGCGTAATCGAGTGGTGTGGGTGGGTCGTGTCCTGAATTGGAATCGATTAGTCGGAATATCGAATGTCTCCATCAGGCACTGATATCATACTTGCGGGATTCACCATTTAAAAATCCCAATTGTCCCGATGTTGTTATTTCCAGACTCGTGTGCTGAAGAATTTGAATAATTTGGTGCATAGCGCAATTTGGGCAAAGCAGGTCATATTTTCTATCAAATAATTGTTCAGAAATTTTCAAATAATAACAGAAATGTTTATTTGACGGAAATCCTCGCTGGTGTAACACAATATCCCAGTTACGACATCATTGCAATTAACGGGACTATAGTTAATGACAAGTTGAATAAGAAAACGAACACCACCCTGTTTAGCAGTGTTTGTTTTAGGCGAAAGATAGATTTACATCAGAGCGAGACGAAACCAATTCTTAGGTGTCGGGTAAAGGTATATGATATCTCCTTTTTTAATTTGAGGTCAATACTCCTCATTTACATCAAAATTCAATTAGATGAGAGAAAGCTTTTTTCTAAGATAAAAAAAAGAGAAAATCGTCCCTGAGCCATTAAGCAAGGGTATCAGAGGTGTAGAGAGAAGAAATGCGATATATTTACAATTAACCTCTGCAGGGTATGGCGCTCAGGATAACAAGATTTGGGTCATTTGATAGCACAAATTGAACAGGGAGTCTGGTTGACGCATTCCGATGTGTTATTGGATTCGGGAAAGAGAGAGAACAGAGTTATTGAACCTCGGCTTGTACAGTCTCACCGTTTGGAGGGAATTAAGGTTAAGACCTTGCTTAAAGCTTGTGATTCTCCTGGTTTCTTTTCCCGAGTGAGGGATATACATGACGAATGTCAGTGTTTTGTTCTGGATGATAAGTTATTGGCTTTGGTTTTTCTTTTGGTATGAAGCTGATGAGACTTCGAGGCTACTTGCGTCATGATTGTAAATTTGCCTGTAATAATCAAACTTAAATCCAACTTTACGTTCACTGGCTCGTTGGGGGGGGGGGGGTTCTGTGAGATTGTTCTCTCAGATCTTTATAACAGATATGCGTCTGTGGCTCGAAAAAAATGATATTGGTTGAAACGACGACAGCCGTCCAACATATTGATCGCTTTTACTGTAAAGACTAAATCATGCATCCTTAGCATCCTCGCCACCCATCATCATCCATAATAACTTCTGCGTGCCTGTAGATATTTTAATGTTCAGTTCGCGTGTCGTTGCCCTGAGCTTTACGTCTTTTTTCCCTTTTTTTGCCTTTTTTTGCCTAATTAAGTTGCTTACAGCACTGTTGAAATGATAAGGCGAGTTACTTTACGCCCTGTCTGTCCTTGACAGGCAAACTAAATTGTTCATTTTAAAAAGACCCGTATTTCTGAATGTTTAAAAAATATATAATGAATTGAAGGTCGTGCACGAGCGCTATATTGGACTTGTCACAACCCATTAACACAGGGTACTCTCTCGCTAAATTATGATTGCTTATTCATCAAAGTGACATACATGCCTGGCGCTTATTTCCAGAACCCATTAAACATTAATTTGTCGGGGACGTACAAACGACCTGGAATTGAACATTATTGGTCTTGACTTAAAATCTTTTGCCAAACTACATTCCATTACTTATTAGTACATAGTGTTCAACGGCTAGGTTGACCTTGATAAGAGAAAATATAGTCGTGTCGGCCTGCTGATTATATTGTCAGAACAAAATATGACTTTGGAAAATGATTGAAAATTGCGCTTTGCTTTCTAGTATTGATAGAAACTTAATAAAGATAAAGGCACTTGTGCATACAGCGTTAGCAAGTGTAGATTTTTTTAAAGGGACGCATAAAATCGCGTTTCTAATGTGTACGATCTTTCTTTCTCTTAATTCATTTCACTCATCGTTCTATTTGCTGGCCACGAAAAGTGGTATAGCTGTGGGTGATGTGTTCTTTACCTAAACTCCTGAATTACAGAACACTTTCTTGTTTTGTTGTATTTCCACTACTTGAAACTTGAGCTTGTCTTAGTATCTTGAACCTTAGGACAGTCATCTGTGTTGGATTTTGTTGTGATGGTTTATACAGAAATTCAGGCTTGTTGGCTACTTTGATCTCATGATGCCAGGTGGTTTGTTAGCTGCCTTAGGAAGTAAATGAAATGGTTCATTTTGGCATTTCAATCTTTAACTCCCCCTGGATGGTAGATATAATTATTATGTTGACAGATTGTAATGCATAGAAGGATAATTGTTTGTTGTCGTATAATTATAAATTTAATAATACAAAACTAAATGGAACAACAACAAAACAGAACATTATCATTGGAAATATCGAGAAAACAACACAGGCCTATGCTTCGAATGGAACAGCATACATTTGAAGAGGGATTGCATTCATTACAGTGCATGAGTTGAATTTAGGTCCGATGTTGACTCATTATAATTGCAACAGTGCCTGATTTGCTTCGGTCCACTTAACATGAATGTGTTTGACCAATGAAAACCTGAGGTCCTTTGAGATTGTCCTAATTCTAGATGGACTGCTTTGACTTTCAAATTTGGTTTCCCCCTGAAGGGACAGGAGGATACGATAGTACAAACATCAGCAATGTAAACAAGCTTGGTTATTCTGGCTCTGGGTTAGACAGGCTGCCCCATGTATAGGGAATTGATCCGCTTGTCGAGACAGTACTATCATCCTGGTTCAACCAGGGTGGGTGCGTTCGAGTAGCTCACCCGGATCGACTCGGGTAAAGGCAGGCGGGTTAGCCACGAGAGCCGAGCTATAATCGAACGCTCAACCGCGGGTCATCACGATCCTCACGTGATGTCCGTATCCGCGGCCTTTGCCAAAGACAAAACGACCGTTTCGGACTTGGTCTTAGTTTGAGATTTACTGCTTTTCGTCAATTGCAAAACTAAAAAAAACGTTGCGCTGAAATTGTAGCCTCAAAAGTCGCAATGAACTAAATGTTTACCTTTAGGCCTAGGCCTATACTTCCAAAAAAAAAGGTTTTTTCATTCAAGACCAAATTTAATTTGGTTTTGTATGACTACACATTTTAGTTGAATTTAACATAAATTATAACCCAAACAATTGGTTATAGAACAACCCAAGTTTGGGTAGTTCCAGTTTTCACCCGTTCTTTAAAAAAAAATAACCCAGGCAATTTTTCAGTGCACGCAATGTTTAAAATTCTTAAAGAAAAGGAGCAGGAAGAAATCTCTTTCATGCAGGGACTGTCTTAGGGCGCCGATGAACTCGTACAAAAACATGATGGATTACAGGGTTCATTTGTTTATTGCGAGAATAAATTGGCAAACTTTCATCACTACATGTAGTTTTGAACCCAGTGTATGTGTTTATATAATATGTACATGTGGATTCAAACACACGAAAATGCCACTTTTGCAAAATACCCCGTAATCCTTCATTTTTCTGTGCGACTTCATCAGTGCCTGCATGGAAGAGGTCTTTTCCCCCAATTCTTTTCTTTCAGAATTCTAAACGTTGCGCGGCACGTGCCTCCTGCCTAGTTTAAAATTTCCACACTAATCTCACACCGCGCGTTATGCGCATTGTATACCCCTTTTGAAACTACCGCACTAATCTTATTCAAAATGAGCAACAGGGCTTTCAGTTTTCATTGTTGTTGCATTCGACATGGGCGTAGCGAGGGGGGGGGGGCCAAGGGGGCGCTTGCCCCCCCCCCCCCCCCGGAAAAGCCAAGGGGGGGGGGGGCGAAGAAAAAGAAAGAAAAAGAGGTGTGAAGTCATATTTGCTATTAATTTAATACACATTTAACAAAATGGGCGTCTACAGGGGTGTCACTGGGGTGGGGTGGGCAAATGTCCCCCGCCCACCCAAAAACAAAATGATCAATTGAGAATATGCTAGAGAGAGTACAAGGATTTTGGGGGACAATTAATTTGCTTTGCCCACGCTACAAAAAATCCTGGGTGGGCCCAATGAGTGGCAAATTAAGTGCTTTGTCCAAGGGCACACACACCACAACCCCAGGGCGAAATAACAAGAATAATTTTATTTCATACACTTCTCTTTTTTTCGCCATAACTGATTGCAATGGTCACCAGTTTTGCTCTCATACCTAAACGGAGAAGTTTCAACAGTTCGTACAGTGTAGCCACGAACCATTCTTTCGTTGGCTCAGAGCAAAGTTTTTATCACGCCCTGCAAAAACAAGAAAGCCATAATAAAAACATGTATTTTTAGATGATAAGCATATGTTACATAAACTCCAGGGACTCAGAGGCTCCGTCAAATTCCAAATTGAAGT